TACTTTAACAGTACATGTTAAAAGTTTTTTTTAAATAATATTTAATTCATCAACTATCTAATAAAATTTATCAACATAATATTAACACTAAAATTAATATTTATTTTTATATTTTTTATATAAATTTATTTTTAAAAAATACTCTTAATCTTTACCCTTAGAAAAATCCTTAAAAAAACCCTAAAACAAAAGTGTGAGAATTAAAACTGCTTGAAGACGGTAAAAGAAAAAGATGAGGGCTGGGAGAAATTACTGAGGCTTTCGGCTCACCTGAAAGGCTGAAAGCAAGCAATAGGCTGACAGGATTATCGTTTGTTGCCATTTACTTTACCCTTTAGGAAGCGTCTGGAATACTTTATTAAGCAACATTTTTTCAATTTACCAAAAACAAAAAAGCAACATTTTTTCAAAGATTTTTTTTAAAGGTATTTTAATATTTATATACTCCTAAAGCTTTTTTTTTATTTCTCATACAATTTTTAACTTATAAATTTTTGTTTTTATCCCTTTTCAAGAGAAAAGTTTTTAACAAATTGCTTTATGTGGGACTCATTAACAATTTTTTACTAACTTTTTTATGTTAATTTATTATTAAATTCAAAAAATTATAAATAATCTATCAAAATTTTGTTACAGTATTTACTTACTTTTCATACACTACTTTTTCAATAAATTTTCCAGTAAATTTCGCCTCTAATCAAACAAACCCTTATAGTATTAGACTTTGCAAATTGCAATTTCAGGACATTGATTAATTATAATAACAATTCGCTGGATCCATTATCTGTTGCATTATACTGCTAATCTAAATACTCCCTGTTAATCATGCTTAAATATAACAAAATAACATAATGCTTAATATTTGATTGGTTTCCAACTTGTTAGCTAGAACCTAAATTTTAAGCCTATTGTTTGATCTTAAAAAGGACAAAGGGTCATCCTTATGTATCATAATCATCCCAGCTTGACAAACCTTCAATTATATAGGAGTTCGTCCACACGCCAAGTGAGGGAGAGGATAAGTCTCTTATTAATTGACTTGAAAGTGAATGTTGTGGTTAATGGGCCCTAAGTTTAAGTTTTTAATTCAACTTATATATAGTCAAGAGATGTTCCACCGATTGAGAGATTGAGTTTATCAATAGAAAGAGTATCTAACTAATTGGGTTTGACAAGTTAATGTGATATTTTGGAAAATGAAAGTTTCAATTATTCAATGGCAATTGCAATCAATCAATTTTTATCAAATTGAAAAGATTATTATGTAAGCTCTAGCATAGTAATCCCTTATCTAAAAACTAATGCATCGGTTATATATATATATATATATATGTAAATACTTTTTGTATAATTTTTTTTTTTTCGTATTTTTGTATAACTTGATATATTATTAAAATGATTGGTTCTTTTAATTCATGTAAAACCCATAATTTTAAATGCATCCACTCATTTAATGACATGTGAAAGTTGTATAAAAATATGAGACAAAAAAATTGTTCTTGTACTACCACTCATATATATATATATATATATTTAAAGGAAATTAAAGAGACTTTCGGTGAAGGTTTTATAGCCTTGGATGCTTGTCCCCCCACTTCAATCTGCTATCTTATTCCACCTAGCATGCACCACAAAAGCCAAACAACCGACACCAATAATGATGCCACATGTCACCGAATCATTCGTACATGTAATTGGTAATCCCCTTTTCCATTGGATAGTGAGTTGCTGACGTGGGTTCCACATAAGATACGGTTATATTCTTGAGTGGATGCCCTTATAAGAAGGGCCTCAAAACTTCTACAAGGAAGAAGGTGGGATAGTGAAGAAAATTCCAAAAATAATTTTTTTTTGCAAAACCTAATATAAAAGATGTACAGTGCTTCTTCTTTCATTTTCTTTTGATAAGGACTTGGGAATGCTAGCTGTAAATTTGACTCTATGGTCCCATGGAACAGAATAGATGTTCTGTTCTTTTCTTCTTTCCACTATAGTTTGGGCGCACCTCACTTTTCCTGAGTGCAAATATCCATTTTGACCGGTTTTATGCATTAAAAAAATTTAATTTCTTTGAATGCTAACGACTTGATCCTTAAATTTGATTTGTGTGGATTATTGTTTGTTTGAAAAAGGTTACATCTACCTTCCATGGATAAAAATGAGTAGTTATCAAAAGACATGGAATGCAGAAAATCAGAAAAAGTTCATTTTCATGGAATGCAGGAATGCATTTCAATCCAGCACAATAACTGAATAACCTCAGAACTAGGAAATGGTAGTGGCATAGGAGCCGATACCGAAACACCTATTTTGGCGAGATTTAAAATTTCACTACGATGAATTCGATTGTCAGGTTCACCACTTAAGTTGGCAAGACCTAAAATACAGAGATAAATTGAGAGAATTCACTCTCAAGAAGCTCACTCAACAGAGGAGAATTATAAACTGAAATTTTGGATTAAAACTTATATGTACAATGGTGAGAACATGGTTATTTATAGGGAAAATCTAACGAAGGCAATAAATGAAAAGTGAAAATGCAGTTGGGAGTTAGTCATCTTTGTGGAATTTAGTGGCTATTTTTGTTGACTTGTGGCCATGTTGACAAAGTTGCATTGGCCTAGTGGTGCTGCAGAGTAGCTTCTGCATGCTTCTTGTTTTTTTTCCTGGTGCATTAGGCATTAGGGGGATAAATGGTTACAATTTAGTGTTCAGGGACTAAACAAGTACCTGTGTCAAACGTCCTGAACACTTTATGAAGAAATATAGAGATTTGATAAAAATAGTGACAATCTTTCTAAAATTTTCTAATTGAATGTATGACTTTTTTTTTTTCATAACAAATTAAGATTACCTCCTTTTAAAAGTTTCTAATTAAGATATGTGTACTAATGCAGCCACCACCATTGAGCGAAATCCGTTGACGCCGTTGTTAATAAAATTGTAAAGATCATATCCTTAATTAAAAGCTTTTGAAATGTGATCATCTTGATTTGTTACACAAAAAAATCGTACTCTCCATTAGAAAATTTTAGAAAGGTTGTATGCTTATTTTTATTAAATCTCAAGAAATATATAATGACATACTGGAACAAAGAAAATAGATATGAATGAAATCATAAGTGGATAGCATATAAATTGCGCAAACAACATATTTTCCATTACTTATGTGGGAGTTCAAATGTTCAATACAAAATGCAAATACAATATACACCATCTTCTTTTAACAAAATCAGAACATGAAATAACGATAAGATGAAGGATACATGCCAAATTACCAACCAAATAAAAGAATTTTCATCTCCCTTCCTGTCTTTCCTGTCTTTGCAACTACAAAATAATGTGATCAATGCCAGATGAAAGAAATGCACAATCACTCTTCATGTCATGATGCATCAAAATCAAACTCCGATATTAATGAAAGCTAGCCATGTTCATCAAAAAGGCAAATCGACCATGGCAATATGAATGGTGTGTACCAATGTAAAGACGAGTTCCAGGCATGGAGAACTTAAATGAGGGATTGGCGGTCAGATTTGCAGAAGAAGCAGGTAACAATGAGCCCAGGTTCTAGAACAAATCAAATTTCTTCTTCAATAAGTCTTGTTTCCATTTTGGTAGGTTATAGAATGCATCTTTTGTCATCCCAAATATTGTCTCAAACCCCTCTGCTGACAGATATGCCTGAGATATATCACAAAGAGGAAAGAATGAACATGTATACATATAAATGAAAAGATCGGATAAGGTTTGAAGTATATAAACCTATGGTCTGACTAACCTCCCTGCGTTTAAAATCAATTCCAGTTACTGGATTCCCAGATTTGGCCCTCAGTTGCTCATAGCTGAATGTGGTTTGAATGCCTCCACCGTCATTCTCATCCTGCTGTGTCTCTGGCTTTTGTTCGGAATCCCCCCCAGTGGATATTCCAGATTCAAGGGCAACTTCCTCTGTCTCCTTGCCTTCATCAGCCTCTTGAGAATCCTCAGCTTCAGAAGGGGCTATTACAGTTATCAGAACCAAGTGGTCGAATTTAACCATCGACAAGCATTAAGAACAATAACTGACTTGCTTTGGGATTGTAAGGTTACAATAGTCAACCTTATTAAAGTGCAAATATGAGGTCCTCTTACCAGCTGGGGTAGCTACTGCAAGGGGGCTGCCGTTCAGTGATCTGGAAGGGGAGACATCAGGAGATTTCTTCTTTTCAGCAGTAAGAACAGATGAAAGGGCAGCTACTGCTGCTGCTCTTTGCGATCCCTGACCAGCTGACCGTGAGGGAGGAGGAGGAGGAGTGGGTTTTACTGCTGCTGGAGTACCAAATGCTGAAGACAAAGCAGCTAAAGCTGAAGCTCTTTGGGTTGGTCCTTGATTTCCATTGGATTTGTCCTGAACCTGAAAGCCCTTTGATTGTCAAAATGGGAATAACTGAAATAAGGGCGACACAGAAAAAAGTTTCATAATAAGATGGAACCAGTAACCTGACCAAGGATAAGTCAAAACTTTGTTTCAAACACTGCCTTGTGCAGCAAAAACATATTAGCACATCAGTGTGGAAAGTGAAGTAGTTTTAAGGAGCTGATACTAAAATATGGAGCGAAAACAGGTTCATTTCTTTTGGGAGAATGTTAAAAGTATATTAACCAAAATTCCATAGGCTAAAATAAAAAAATTCCCAGGTATACCAAGGGCTAAATATAAAACAGGTTTCACATTCCCAATACAAACTTGTTAGTCATTCAGTATTTATTCACAGAGTAATAGATGAACTCAACTAAAAGTGAACTAGTCAGATATAGAGACAGAAGTTAATTACCTTGGAGGTTGATTTTGTGGAAGCTGGATTAAATGCAGAAGACAAGGCAGCTAATGCTGAAGCCCTTTGAGTGTGACCCCCTTGGTTCCCATTGGACTTGTCCTGTCTCAGTAGTATACAATATGTCATTTGAGGGATGCAGAAAAAAATGAATAGTTGAAAATGAATGAATTGAACCAACAGAAACATTATTATCATCAGAGACCAAGAGTACCAATTAAGGACTCATAAAAGATACAATGTTAGCTTGTTAAACTGAGAGTTCATTATAATCACTCAACTAAAGCTGATTAAGTCAAATTCCAACATCATGATACAGTAAGTAAATAACTACTAATGACTAAATGTAATTCTCCAAAAATATTAGTAACACTCACACGTCAGTGAAACAAAACAATTTTCCAGCAACATGTCAAAAGAATGGGATTCCTTATCTTTGGAAGAGATGCAATTGTATGTTTTCTAGTTATTAAAACAAGAGAAGTCGGATCACAGGAAGCCTAAAAAGAGCTATATATCTAGGACTTTGGAAAAGAAGCCACATCTAACAATTTCAACAATAAAATTCCAATTGATCTTCTAGATCCTATTATCTCTACAAGAAGTTCAAATAAAAGAAGGCCAAAAAAACATCTCAGAAAAAGATCATGTACAACAATTTGCTTGGAAAGAAAATTCCACACATTTGAAGCAACCACTTACCTCTACAGCATGGCTGGCACCGAAGAGTAATGTTACCTTCTTCTGAAATGAGTTTCCAGGTACCTGTGTTCAACAGACAAGAGAATCTAAGAAATATATAAAAAAGAAGCTGTTAAATGCAGCATACTAGAACTTAAGGAACTATGTAAAAAAAAAAAAAACCCGATGTTAACAGCTAAAGCATCAATTTAGGTTTTTTCAACCTTTTCAACATGTTAGACTCTGACTAATCAGTAGAACTTAGCTAGAAAATATCCTCTTATAGACTAAGTGGTAAGCACACATTTATGAGCAAGGTATCATAGGTTATAGATGCTCTAGCCAACTAAGACTACTTTTCTGCTCCTTGAAACACAGTCATAATCCTAATGTACTTTTTTGTTTCTTGTCGCCCTCACTGCATTCTTATCTAGGGAGATTCCTTGTGCTTCATGTTCTTTTTCTCTTACTCAAACTTGTTTAAAAACTATCAAGCTTTTTCAAGCTAGTAGGAGAATCTTCCCAGGTAACAAGATTGGATTCATATTAATGTTGATGAAAGCCAAATGATCCTATACCACCTTCCTTATGGGTTACATTCAACCAAACTGCCTTATCATTGGTTCTTCCTCAGAGACCAGACTCCCATGAATTCATATCATATGTTATACTATCTTTGTTATTTAATTTTTTT